GGGGGGGAACATTCACATCAACCCCGCAAACAACCTACATCAAATCGTCTATAGTATTCTCTATCCAACAAGTCGCGCCAGACGATTTACCCTAACCACTCCCCCACCGTAGTTTTAAAGAAAAAGAAGAAGAAAAAAAGTTCGCAGTACACTATACATCTGTCAGGCGGGATGGATTCATGCTCTAGAAGAGAAAGAAGGTGTTTGAGAACTCTTAGTCTGAACAAGGAAAGAAAAGAATGACACACTTCCTTGGGTGGTGTGTGCATCCATGCTGTTAAATGTCAAAACGTGAGACGTGTGACAGAAAGGGGACAAGTCCCAAGTCCCATGGTGACTGTGATGTTCAAACATGGTTCTAATTCAGAGTGCGTGATATGAAGATACAGCACTTAGCAGTATGAGCAGGGCTAGTATATAAATCAAGCAATTGTATTTGTATGTGTATTCATTCATCTACTAGATTTCAAAAACACCACCCATGCCCACTCGTACATCAACGAGATCAGGTCTCCACCCCTTAAACTGCACAAGTCCCCTCTTGACTTCTCGTACGCGCTCGAGGCGATTCTTCGCTTCCTCCTCCTGCGCGCGTCTAAAAGCGTCTTCATCGATTTCGAACTCGTCGAGGCTGCCCAGACTCTCTTGGCGGGGCTTGGGCTTGTTGGCTGCGTCGCTGCGGCAGTGGTGTGCGGGGGTTTGGCCGGTAAAGGCTGAGATGCCGGATTGGATGACATCTTGGAAGGATGAGTGGGTGCGGTTGGGTGGAGGTTGGCGGGAGGAGGGTGCGCCAGAGAGGTCGATGTCGTCGAAGTTGTTGGGATCTGCTTGGTCGTCGATTGAGGGTTGCATGTCACGGCGACGGTCGCGCCATACGCCGCGGCGGAGCTCGAAGTTTTCTTCTTCGAGTTCTCGGACTTTGGCGAGAAGGCGGTCGCGTTCCTCGTCCAGAAGCTCTTGGACGCTGGAGTCTTCGATGGAGCCGAGATCTGCTTTTCTGCGGCGCTGCTCTGCTTCTCGGAGACGCGCGTTCTCGTTGCTGAGACCCGTAATGCGAGTTCTTAACTCGGCGGCTTCGCGCTCAACCTTCTTGTGTTCTTGTAGACGCGATTGGTTGCGTGTGTCGTTGTCACGGTGTAGCTGTGTCAGAGTCTCAATCTTTTTCTCCAACAACTCAGCACGTGAGACCGAGTCTGATGCCTTGCGGTTGGCAGTGCCTAGCTCAGCCTCTAGTTGCGCAATACGAGTCTGCGCAGAGTCGCGGTCTGATCCATCCTTTTCTGCCTGGTCACCAGCCTTATCCAAGCTCGCCTTCAACTCCTGTAGTTCCGTCTTTGTCGAATTAGCCTCCTGCTCTGCCTTCTCTACTGCGCTTTCAAGACTTGTAATCTTCGATTGGAGCTCATTGTTCTTGTTTGTTTGTTCTGACAATTGCCTGTTGAGATTTGAAATCTCAAGTTCAAGCGACTCAATAGTTGCAGACTTGGAAGCAACTTGTGCATTGAGGTCATCGATCGATGCGCTTTGGCTTGGGGATGCGGTCGCTGTACGGCGTGTGGATTTATTGCTTTGTGATTGTGCTTGAGAAAGCTGTCTCTTGAGCGACTCGACTTCCGTTCTCTGTATGACAGGTCAGGATTGCCCATAAAGAAATTGTAAACATGAGCACCTACCAGTGCGTCAACCTCCTTGCCCTTCTCAACTGCAAGGGCAGCATCGCCTCTGCTCTCTCGAAGTTCCTCTAGTTCCTCTTCGCCTTTCTTCCACCTTCTCTCATTCTCCTCAACTTCACTTGCTAGTCTTTTGTTTTCCTTCTCCAGCTCTTCAATCTTCTGTGCTTGTTCCCGGTATACCTCACTTGTGACACCAACTCCAGGCGACAAAGGCCCGGCAGCTCCTGAGCGATAAAATGATTCTGACCGTTGTCGCGACTCGATAGCGACCGAAGGCTTGCGACCGTGCGGCTGCTTGGGCAATTCTGAGGGCTCATCCTCTTCTTCCTCGTCCTCGGCTGGAGGCGGAGGTACGCTGGTAGCCTCCACAGGTTCTGGTGCGACTTGCTCGGTCTTCTCTTCAGACTTCTCTTCGGTATTTGCGGCTTCGGTCGATGCTTCGGCTTCGGCTTCGGCGGGAGTTTCAGTCTTGTCCTCCTTCTTCTTTCCGCCTTTCTTCGCTTTCTGCTTCTTCAATTGTTCATACTAATAGCAAATGTTAGTGTCTGACATTAGTATATGTACTGCATGGGGTACATTGCGTTCAGTGACTATACAGCCAAGAAACACTACCTCTCAAAAGCACCAAATTCACACAAGAGAAATACATACGCGCTTCTTCGCCGCCGCCATCTTCTCGGCCTTTTCCTTTTCTTCGTCCGCCATTTTGTGCAGAGGCTATGATCTTTTGGTAGAGCGGTCGGTAAGTGGTCGCGAAGCTCGACAACTGAATGTGGGGGAGCTTGTGTCTCCAGGACCCCGATGATGCCAACTTGCGCCGCAAGATCACGCTAGTCTGTGTATGGAATAGCCAGATCGTCCACACTATTCTGGATAGTGAACATTACAACGTCTGCGTGGACATGTATATTCAATGAATACTATTCCTAGATCCTCTCTAGTATTTGAGGGCTCTATTTTGGTTAATTTTCGAAATTCTCAACATGACATTTGATAGCTGTTGTCGAATGACAAGTTGCTAGCCGTATTCACCGTCACAGAATGCATTGCACGCTATTCACTTAAGTTATTTTCCATGATTATGGTCGCATATTTCGTTGCTTATAGGCAAAGGGTAGGCTGAGAACTCAGACTCTGGGTGTGTTATTGTAGTCCCGTGTCAACGAGCAATTAAGTGTTTATACTAAGTGACGATCCTCAATCCCACCATCGATCGTGAGTTTGACCTTCGTTCTTCTAACAAAACTCAGTACATCACTAACCAACACTTTTCATGATCATATAGCATACTCGTTGTATAATTGCATCTGTTGCCACACTGGCGACGAAACTCTGGTCTAGAAATCCTGCTTCTTATAAACGAGCTCTCTCACTCATCTGTCTATGTGACACTGAAAGTCACGCGTTTAGCAAGAAAGAGATGACCAAGGATACCAAGTAAGACCTGGTTTCAATAGTGGTGTCATCTTATGGGGGTATAAGACTTGAAACTTTAGACAAGGGTGTATACTAGAAATACTCAACATAATAACATTTCCATGGATTTGCATGTAAAGTAGTCAGATAATAGAGACAATGAATAGTTCTCCACCACCTAGTCCCCTCGTATCTTTGTCTGATTCATGCAATGTTTTTTCTTTCACGTGTGAATGGAACCGAAGCACCAATATCCCAGAGTCTCGTATCCAACGACGTTATCAAACCTACCACTGTTTGACTAATCCGTCTCAAAAATCGGTTGGTAAAAGCATCCCCTCATTCATGGTAAAAACCGTCGTATTTCTTTTGGTTTTAGTCGCATGGCCAACACAAGTCACTCCACCTACATGCAATACATACGTGTTGCTGACCAACTGGGCTTACAATGACCCCGCGAGTGCCAGCTGAGACAGAAGAGTCGGTTGTTACACAGTTGCATTAGCGCCTTCCACCACCAAGCTATAGACGCCGCTACATCCGCAAAGCGCCACTGCTTTCCTCGCTTAGTTGGATGCATCAGCTTGCCACGGCAGTTATCCTTTCTCCTACAGTGGTTGGTGGCGTCTCCGCTTGGAGCCGAGAACCGCGGCGCGTGAACACGCACTGCCTTTGAACCGGCGCCCATAGTGCAAATTTACGCATAGTCTGGCTATGAGCTGATTCTTATCGATAGCAATAGAGTTTTGCTGGGTCACAGGGCTGCTGGCTGATCGCTGATCATCGGTAGCGATGGTGATGAGATGGCTTGATGGGTGCCAGACGGTTTGATCGCCATTGGAAACACTTGACGAGTGTCGTGGCGTGACAAGTCTACATACGCACGTAGGCTTTTACGTACGGACCCAGCGATTCATGTGAGTTGTCAGCGACTTCTGCATCGAATGAGCTTATTTCTGTCGGGTGCAAGTTTAGCACGACTGCACTTTGACAGGGGAAACACATTTGGTGCAAGTCGGCCTCTACCATGCGTTCGTAGTGTCTGCTTGACTATTCCAAGCCAGGTATTTATTGCGCACCCAGAAGCGCTTATGGTCCTTACGGCTGGACACCTTTGTGTATCAAAGGCTTGGTCTCTCCTTGGGTCTGTCGATCATTGACCTTGAATCGAGGATTGTGGGAAGGATCCAATGACCAACTGCGACCACGCCGCTTTGTGATGTGCGGATTGCAGTTTGCACATCGCTCATCAATAAAGGTTGAAGCAATGGACATTAGGAGTATGGTAGTCCTCGTGATATAATGTTAAGTAAGCAGAGTCCATGGACAGATCAGGCAAGTATCCCCCGGCACGACATATGAGGTCTAGTCATGAAAGCTGAGTGATGGCTAGAGCGTCGTGGGCTTTACGTTCCAGGTCGTCGCCAAGGTGTGAGCATCAAGCCTCGGCTCAGCCACGTCTGGAATTAGATTTAACCAATCGAGTAATTCAAGGGAGAAGTAGGAGGATGCGACGGACGCTCCGGTGTGTGATGGCGCTCCGTGGCGTCACCTAGTTACATGGCAGCCCGTCACTCAGATAACGTGGAATCCCAGAGTAAGAGCACGTCTGGTGATGGTTTCGCGAGCCGCGTCACCAACACCAAAAACTCGAGTTGCCGCAGTACATTCCATATTCGCCCTATTGGAGCGAGTAAATTAGCAGAAGTCTCAACACAATTGCCAACATGATGCTTGGCGTGTTGGATCGAGATTTTGTAAAAACAGCTGCTTGCGCCTTTGGTCAAGGAACAAGCCATCAGCAAAAGAAGTCGGGCATTATCGTCGATCCACAAGTCCAGGTACCGAAGCTATTCTTTTTTTTCCCTACTTGGCGAGTCTGGAGCTGGCGAGACAAGACGCATACAGCCATAGTTTCAGGAGCGGTGCCTGGGTGTGGGGTAGGCGCCTCTGGTTCGTCCGGAGAAAAGGTGGCCTAGACCTTGGAGTAGGTGAGCAGCATGCTGGAGCAAGCACATGACGGCGAACCATGGTTGATAATGCGCTGGCAGAACATCTCACTGGCTCCGAACTTGGAGAGGTAGTTTTTGTTGGGATGAAGCGTGGTTGGCTGTCCGCAACTTGGGTATGCGGCTCTGCGGGTCTCGACAGTACGCTTCCTAGGTGGTGAATGGTTGGAGAGTGAATGTGTGTACGTATTGGTGTGTTCACAGCACGGATTGGTAGAGCAAATTACCAGGCCCACCTAGCAGCGCAATCTCCCAAAATTCGCTCATAACATCCACGTTGTTGCCACGTCAAGCCGGCGCCGAGTCCTGGAGCCATGACAACGAAGAAGACGACGACGACGCGACGAACAACAATGACGATGATGATGGTAAAGAAGAAAACAAGGCAACAAAAACAAAAGTCGCCGTGCTCGGATCCAAGGCTTGTCCGTGATGTGGGTAAACCATGGTCAGGTGGTCTGGGAGCAAGTAAGTAAGGCGCAGCCGGTGGCTACGTGCCTGCTATTGGCCAGAGTTATCGAATTGTTCGTGGCGCATCCCCTATTTGGCAATAGGGAAAAATAGAAGCCGGAAATTGGCAATCTCGTCGTTCATCCGGCATCAAAACACAGATGAAACGAGATTCGTAATTTGTGCAATCGTGTACCTTTGAACCTTGCTGATAATACATGATACGTCAAGTATTACCAGCTTTCGCCGACAGGGCCGTCTACATGCCGACGTCTCGTTCCTTGGTCGGCCATTCAGGAGGGGCGACGTTTCCCCCCTGAGCGAGGGTTGGCGAATGTGCATCGTAAAGGTCATAACATGTGTATACGTACATACGTACATAGACTACTCAGGTACAGATGCGCAATATTGACGGGCGTCAGCGGAAGATTTGAGATGCAGGTGGACGGGAAGTCGGCAGATGTAGACCAGACAGTTGCCGCGGAGGGATTTGCGACAGGTGGAGAAGCACAGTGGCGGTGCAGTACCAATAACTATGTACTCGCATGCGAATGCGTATGTCTGAGCTTTGCAAAAGGACACGGTAAGTCCTGAAGGTGTCTCTATAGCCTGTCCCGCAGCGACATACTGCTTGGCAGCCTCATTCGCAATTAGAGAAATAGTCATGGTATTTGCCGCGCACAGTTTTTTTCTGCTCTCTTCACCGCTGGTCATAGCAGTAAAAAAAACACTGACGCTACGTAGATTTTGCTGGCGCAGATCCATGGAGGCAATGGAAGCTATAAGGGACGCCGTTGCGGGCATTGTGCTCCACAGATCGTATTGCCAGCGCCAGATGGGACAGTGCGTATAAGTTTGGCTGCGACGCTCATTTGAGCGCCCGCCTTCTCGGGCCAGCACCAAAAGCCGCTCACTCCGAGCATGCTTGGCAAGACATGTTTTTTTGCAAGATAATGATGACACCAACGACAGGTGGATCGTGAGAAATGAAGATGGACAAATTTTGCGGAACCTGTTTTTCAGCCCATGACAGGTGTATAGGCATGTCGAGAATAGATAGACCCTGGAGATCATTCAGATGATGCAGAGAGCGGGAGACATGGTAGTCCATGTTCATGACGTCGGAGCCAATAAACCAAATAGGAGCATGGTCCTGGTGCGAGACCGAACCCGTCCTGTGAGCACACGAACCGGGAGCGCGCGCATGGCAGCGCATAGGCATTGGGGTGCAAAGAGTATGTATATGAACAGAGGTAGCCAGGAGTTGAATTGGGTTGCGTGTTGTGTGTGTGTGCGTATGTATACATGCAGGTGTGTATGCGACGACGAAATGCGTGCTGCAATTGCGCATGCAGGGTCATGCTAGCCTTGACCGCCTTGCCCTGACCCTGACTTCCTAGACGGCCGAGCAAATTTTGCAGCCATTGGAGAAGAAGAAAAAACTAAGATGGTAGAGGCGGAAACTAGTAGGCGACATTTCATGAACGCCAGGCTGCCGTGGCCGTCGATTGGGACGACGGCTCAAGACACGGGTACTTGTCCGGCTTGACGCGTTGCCAAGCTGCAGCGCAGGCGATATCAGTAATGTAGTGAGGATCAATGTGCACAGCATTGCCGCATCAAGGGTGTCGTCTATGTACTGTGTGTGTGCTCCTTTATCTTTGCATACGCACCCCACCAGATTGGTCCAAAACGGGTCCGCAACAGGACTGAGTCGGGATGCATCCTCGGCCTGGGAAGAAGGGCAGTGAGTGAGTGCAGTGTGTCGTGGTGGTCGGGGAGGCTGGGTTTTATGTGGGATGACGGGCCAGCAACCAGCCTCGCGGAGACAAGGCGGCGGTGGGTGAGGTGAGATGATAAACAAAACAATGCTTGCTTCTTGGTGCAGTCATCTCATCCCACTTCTCCGCATTTCGTCTACGACGACTATTTATGGGTGGCGAGCACAGGCTCAGGTGGTGGATGCAAGGGGGATAGCGAGATGGCGAGGCGTCAGTGCCCCTGGCTAGTGTGGGCATCAAACGAGCGTAGTCTGTCCGAGCTGCATATCGAATGCGTGCTTGGCTGTCCATCCCGGGCAGCGAGCAGCCCCCCACTGCGAACGGGTAGGATGAAACAGGCCGTGTCCATCTTCATGTCTCGAGGCGGGCAGCGAAGGTGAGGGCATTGCTCCAGAAACCGGGAAGGGCCCAGCTGGCGTCAGATGGCAGGACAGGGCGGAGCGTCACAACGGTGGACGTGGAGGTGACAGCGGTAAAACGGGCATAGCTTGGCTGTGATTTGGCACGTAGCCGCGCTGTCCGACTGCTAGCAGCGGGGCGATGAGGAGAAAGGTGGCAAGGCTTGTAGCTTGCGACATGCAGCCAAGACGGTGAAGGAGATGATGGCCAGGCGGAGACAGGACCATGTTTCGCACGCACCGGAGCAGCGGTCAGACGTTGAGGGAGCCGCATGCAACTGCTTGCGAGTGCAACGATGAGAGGGAGCGAGTGGTTCGGCAGGCGAGCCAGTGCCAACACCAATGCCAATGCCAATTAATGCCCGTTCCTGGCGGTATAGCAGGCCAGCCGGCTGTCCAGTCAAGTGACGCAGCAGGCAAACCACCATGACGGAGCTAGGCCAGCCCCAAAGCCGCTCTAGCCAGCTGTGGCCTGGCATTGGCTCGCCGAGACGAACTGCTCCCTCGACGGCTTGCCTGGCTTGCTGGCCATGATGTGCGCCAGAGGGGGGCCTGTGACGAGCATGGGGAGGCATGGGGGAGCCATGTTCAGGCACAGGCACAGACGGAGGGAGACGTGTGCACAAAGAGGGCGATGCGTCTAGTACATCTACTTGGATACATATGTACGTATGTACAGTACTATATAATACCAAGTACAGGTGTGTGCGTGGGATGATGGGATGATGGAGCACCACCGAGTATTACCACCACCCCGCGCCGCATCCAGTAGTGAGCGACAAGGGTGCATTGGTGGGTGGTGTGCAAGGGAGAAAAAAAGCAAGCGGGCGTAGTGGGCAGCGAGCGGGCTGGCTGGCTGGCAGGACAGGACAGGCAGGCCGGGCAGGCACGCAGGCCAGCGCGAAATGAGGAGGGGACGGAGACGAGAGACGAGCAGGTGGCATGGAATCCCTGATCCCGGATCCCTGTCACCCTGCGCACGGCCCTTGCCTGCCTGCACTAGGCAGGAACCACCGACAAAAGAGATGGGTTGCCCAGGTGCCCGTCTCTCGCCCACTCCGCCTATTCACCGTCAACACCTCTCCTCCCCCGCCATCCTCGCCGCTCCCCCCGAACCCTCTCCCCCTCTGGAGCCCATTGTCGCTACTCACTCTTCCCGAGGCGACTCTAGGCATCTGTCCGCTCCTTTTCCCTTCCTCGTCGTTCCTTAATTCTTCTTCTTGGGTGTACTGGCTTCACTCGGTCCACCAACCAGACTCGCTCTCAACTCCAAACCCGCACCATACGCCATCTTGTACGCACCCGCCCTCACTCCCATCGCCCTCGCGTCACGTTGCACATCGCCCTGCAATCTACTTGCTGCCTGTGCTGATCCTCTCGCGTCAGTAGTAATCGCGCCCGCTCTTGTACCTCGAGAGCGCTTGTTTCGTCTCACGCCCATTGTGCCCGCGCCTGTAGCACTTCTGTCTCTCTCGTCACCCAACCACGCTACACCCTGCTGCATTCTCCGGTCTGTCTCCGCATCCCGCGCCCCCCAGTCTCACCTGCAGACCAACCACCGTCCTGCGCGTCCGTTGGCGACACCTGCTCTAGTTTTGTCCAGCCTCATTACCACACCTCTCTGCGCCACCACGGCCAGCTAATCGCCTCGCCATGGCTCAAACAGCGATACCACGACACCGCGCTACACAGTCGCAGTCTGGCATTGGCGCGCCCCTGTACCAGCGTCGACATCAATCAAATGCCGGGCCCATTGAGCTTATTCCTAACCCAGAGTTCTCGTTTCCCATGCGAGACCCAGACGCTGCCTCCTCAGCTCCCGCGCCAGCAAACTCACGACCAATGTCACTGCAAGCCTATCCGTCCGGCCGTAGAGGGTCGATGCCACACCACAGGCAAAAATCAATCAATGCCCTGCCAGACTTCTCCTTCAACCCTGCCGGAACACCAAAACCCGCCAAAGAGCCCTCACCACCAGTGTCACCCAACACCCTGGGTGTGCCAATATCGCCTTCGAAGCCGTCTCACGGACACAAACGGGGAGGAAGCGAATTCATTGGTGGTGACATCCGGCCTGGAGGCACCGCATTGAAAAGCAGCAGCCCTACCAAGGGCGAGGATGTCCTTCCTGCACCAAGCTCGACACTACGCCCAGGTCCTCCACCAGGCCGACGTGGACACGCTCACCGTCGTTCAGGCGCTGTTTCCTCTCATGACTTGACCTCGATTATGAGCCCTCCTGTAGCACCAGCTGGCAGCGCACCCAACACACCCTCTGAAGGCAACCCCTTTGCACCCGGTCACAAATTCAACAGGTCTATTTCTCAACCCTCGCTGCGCGACCACAGGTCCGACGACGATCCGGCGCGGCCACCGTCCAGAGCACGAGTGACGTTCTCTGATAGAATCGAGACCATCCGTCCGCTCTCGACCATTTCCTCCGAGACAGAGGGATCTCTGTCTACTCTCCGTGGACACTCTGCAGCAAACAGTCTTTCATCAATTGTCAGCGGCAACGCTCCAGCGCCTCCTCGAGCAGCACGTCCCACGCTGAACACGGTTCAAGACGAAGATCGACCCAGCACGGCGGGCATGGTACTGGACAAGTTCATCAGCGGCAAACTGAACGGTGAGGTTCTTGAGCGCAAAAGACCCGTCTCAGCAGTCTCACTCACGCCATCTCCTGCTCCTACGCCCACTCCCAAAGCACAGGCCAAACGACGAAGTCTCTTCCACCACAAGGATACGCAAAAAGCCGACAGCTCGTTTCCGACTCTTCCAACCAGCGCATCTGACCCTGCTCTTTCAAAGTCTTTCGATGCAACCCTCCCCTCACCCATGTCTGAGAACGACGAGTCTACAAAAGACTCTGCCAAGCCCAAATCCGCCTCCCGCAAGGGCAGCCACAAACCCCGTAAAGTCAAGTCTTGGGCAAACTCAATCATCACTCGCAAGGGAAAGCACGGTAAAAAATCAAAAGCACGCTCCCCAACGCCACCACCCAATGCTGTTGTTGATGGTGACGAGTCGGATGAGTCAGAGGAAATTGACTTTGAGCCCAACTTTGATGACGATACGACTGTTACAATCGTATCCCCTACTGAAACCCCTGCAGCTCAAATAACGGTAGATACGAGCTACGCGTCCTGGCAACCTCGTCCACTACAACGCGTCGACTCTGACATTATGAGCCCGGTCATCGACCTGGATGCCGCGCTTGGACCCTTCAACACTCCCAACGGCTCTAGCCCACGCATGAACCAGCGTGGATTTTCGGCGCATCGACGAGCCATGCACAGTGCCAATGGCATTGCGCCTTCGCATCGAAGGACAGAAAGCGCGCCGGAATTGGTGCCCTTTGAGAACCGATCATCTGTCATTGCGAATACTTCGCCCATGGCTGATGTCTTTGAAGAGGAGGAGCCTGAAGACGAGTTGACCATTCCTGTAAAGGCGACCAAGACAAGGCCAGCTACTGCAGACCCGTCAGAGCTCAAGATTTCGGTGGTGGAAGCCGATTCGAAGCAAGAAGGGCCTGGAATCAACTGGACCTTCAAGGATGGACTTGGTCTCAACAGGAGGCCAAAAGCGCACAAGGTTGACTCCTCGGAGCCATTGTCTCCTCGGGCAACATCACCTGCTGATGACCGCACCGAGGACAATGGCCCATCACCGCAGGAGTCTGAACCTGTTCAAGTCGTAGAAGACTACGAGGAGCCCCGAACATCATCCCTCACACATTCTTCCGATTCCACTGTTACCCCTCAAACAACCGAAGATACACCCAAGCAACGTCAGCCTGTCATGAACTTGACACTTCCTCTTCACCAGCAGAGTATGATGACCCCCGACACGATCGCGTCGTCCTTTTCATCGCCAGACTATCGGTCCAGCCAAATTTTCGATACTGAGCGTAGAGGCACCGCGACCTCTTCAATGACCGATTACCCTGTCATGCCATCTCCTCGCTTTGGCGAACCCGGCCCAGAAGTCCGCATCTCTACAGAGGTGCCTTCTTTGACATCTTCGCGATCAACGATGACTAGTGCGATGCAGGGTGGTTTCCCACTCGTCAGCCCACATCGATTCGGTGAACGCACGTCGTCTCTGTCGTCTGATCCCAGTGAGATGGAGTCTCGGCGTCGCAAGCGTTCCAGCATTGCGAGTCTGTCTCGTTTGATGGGCACTTCGTCTTCGAACAGCGAGCGCAGTAAGCTTTCGATTGAGCAGCGCCCGCAATCAGAACATCGCGAGCCTTCTCGAGAAAAGAAGAAGAAGAACATTGGCAGCAGACTGAGAAAGTTCTTCCAGTACACCAGAGAACCTTCTCCATCCAAATCCTGAAACCACGTGTCTTCGCCCTCACCCAACCAACAACGTGCGGCTGCTTCACTGCAACCGTCACCTGATACCACGATTTTATGGCCTCGCTCGAATGAGCTCGACACACCACCTTTTCCTCTCGCATGACCTCGGAGTTTAAACCAGCGAATGACTATTTAATGGCGCATAACACAGCTGTGATGCATGCGTACGCGAACTGGACTTTTTCGTTTCCTTTCTCTACTTTCCTTTACTGCGGCATATTTTCTTTGTATGAACATTGGAGGGGAACGGTATCTAGGGATCCTGTGGTTCGCATATGGAGCATGGAACTGAGACACAATCTATGGATACTTTGACTGGTCCTTTGTTTTTTTTCCTTTGTGGCGGCTTATGTTCACCGCCCCTCGACTTTCCTTAAATATCTAACCAACCAACAAAATGTATCAAATGGGCATTGGTTTGGCTATACTGCTTCATTGCGGATTCCCTTTACCATCACAACAAAAATGCTCATTGGGATATCGAACGGCACGAACGGAGTTTGTTTCTCTCTCACTTCCCTTTTCTCTACAATCATTTTGATGAACCAGCAAGTAAATATGCGGAGGCTGCATACTTAGTTGGCGTGGGGGGAAACTTTGAAGGTAGTGTACTTTTGACACGGAAAGAAGAGATGAGAAGAGAGAAAAGGGCCAAATTTAGTTTAGACGAAATTTCTTTCGTAACCCTAGGAGATTAGCAAGCTGAATGAAAAAGAGAGAGACATACACAAAAAAGAAATCAAATCAAGAATCTTAACAATAATTCCTTGGCTCAAATTAAACTTGTGTAGTCTCTCTAGGATCCCCATTGTATACACGGTACTTGTCGTGTTTCACCATCTGGTCCTACCTTACATATCCTTCTCCCGGTAAACCTGGCTAAACTTTCCCCCCCTCCCCTTTGCCGCTCTCTTTTACCGCGAACCGTTTTTTCTTCTTTCTCATTTTGCCGCTACCCACCCACCCGTCAACGCTTATCCCATTTTAACGCTTATCCCCTTCTTTGAAATACCGAGCTCGAGTCTCAGCTTCGGAGGGCAACATAAGAGCGAATAATTAGCCGTGCCGAGTTATTATCGTTTGAGGAAGGTATCGGAGACATGTAGCCTAACGCATACTTACTACTACCTACCTTAGCTTGTGGGTATCACGCATAGTCCAAAGGATTTTCTTTGGGGAATCCAAGGGATTACTCTTCTATCGTTTCTATTATCCTTCTACTACGTAGCTTTTCCGCCCTTGCTGTTCTTCGCTTTTTTCGCGCGCTACTAGATACCTACGTACGGGGGCAAAAATGTCCAATCTCCCCTTCCTCCATTTGCTTTACTTGTTTTCTGAGAGTGAGAGAGAGAAAGAGAAGGGAAAGAGGGAGATGCCGCGAAATCGCGCACTACCACTCTAACCACCCGAACCCCCCCAACCCCCCACGAGCCGTTGGCCAGTGTTTCCAATTTGTGCGACATGGGGTCCCGGGCCATGCGAAGTAGTGTAGTCCGAGCGAGCCGCCGCCGACGACCGAACGCCGCCGCCGGTTTCTGCATGGTTGGTTGTACTATCGTGCATACTCGTGTGTGAGTGAGAGAGTGGGTTTTTCTACATGTAACCGCACATATTTGCCCCCCTCCCACATCCTTCCCCGTGCGTTGCGCGCGCACGCGCCGGGTTTGTGTGTAGTAGTAGCAGTAGCTTATGTGGCTGATGTTAAGGGTTGTTTTGAATTAGTTTTTGAACGTCGTCGGTGGAAGAAAGATAAGATGTGGGCGGAGCGGGTCGGTAAAGTGTGTGTTTTCTCAGGTAGATTAAACTAACTGTGGCTTTGTTGCTCAAGAAAACTTGATCATCGA